GATGAAATGGAAGCAGACCGCCCTGCCTTTTGCCCACACCAGTGGTCAAGCCCTCGAGACGCACGTCCTGCAACTTCCGCCGATTCCACATCGCCGGGAACGACTGCCAAGGCCAACCCAAAGCTCGGCTTGCCCTCAGGCAAGGATCTTTGCGGTCGGTCCAGGCCTTACCCAGTGCGCACCCATGTTAGTGATCTCCGCTTTCAGCTGCGGAGCCACTCCTTGCCCCAGGCCTTCAGTAGCAAATCAGAGACCAGGGTGCCCAGTTCCACTTGGCCTCGCAGTCTAGCCTTGCAGTCACACTTCAGCCAGGAACGCACAGACCAGATTCGATCCCTGCTCAGCCCGCCACTCACAGCGATGCCCTCACGCCGCGTGTTCGGCACCAGGCCTGCAATGCCATATGGCCCTGTACGCCCAGCTGAGCCCTCTTCTACTGCTCCTGCTGCAGTGTGTGACTTGCTGAGCCTTACCCTGGCCCACCTTTCAGATTTCATCGCAGGCTGCCATGTGTCCCAAGCAGAGGACCGCACAGCACTTAAATGCAGTGCCATCATGATGAGCAAGGCGCTGTCTTGGTTTGCACGCGTTGGGCAGATATCAAGCCTGCTAGACTTGATGGGTAGTCCTTTAATCAAGTCCTTTGCCTACAGCCCTAAACCACACGATCGACGGGAAGCCTTGCCCTTGCCACTGGCCATTCTTGCCGCATGGGAGGAACACATAGTTTCACCTACTTGCACGCCCGCTGTGGGCCTGTTACTAGGCGCCCTGCTTTTGTGCGCCCATTGCAGCCTAAGATTTGGCGACATTCAGAGAATCAAGCCCTCCGCTCTCTCGCTGTCTGCGCAGGCACTTCGGGGCCTGTGTTGGGCCACCAAGACAACCTGCCAGGGACAGCCCTTTGGTGAAGACATTAGCACATCCTGGCTGGTGAAGTGGCTGGCCCTGCTCAGTCAAGCCTTAGACGCCACCCACGCCGAATGGGGAGATTCCTTTGTACCCGACTTCATTTTGCCCTGCATTCCAAACCTGGAATCTCACGTATGCCCCAGCCTTTCGCGCCCGATGTCCTATTTGCAGGCACTGGTTTGCCTTCGCTGGGCCATACAGTTGCCATGGAAATCGGAAGGCGGTCAGCTGGTTACCCAGCGCGAGGCATCCTCGTTCACCCTTCACAGCCTTAAATGCGCATTACTCAGTGCAGCACCGCAGCTACGCCTTCCGGAAGACAGCAGAAGGCTTCAGGGACACCATCGCCTCTCGTCCGCATCGCTGTACAGCCGGGACGATACCATAGAAGCCTTGCGGGTGCAGTCTGAGCTCACCTCCGCCATCCGACGGGGCTGGAGACCCCCTCGACCAATGGCTCGGGGGGGGCAGCACCCAACCGTGGAACCAGCCTTTCAGGTTCCCAAGCCATCTGCAGCTTCAGAGCCTCCCAGCCGGCCTGACAAGATTCCTGTATCACAGGGAGGTGGACAATTTGCTGTCCACAGCCCTGGATGCAGATGAGGAAGCACTTGCAGTGGCAAGAGCCGCCTTGGAATCTTCGGAGGCCGAATCCGAAGAAGAACCACCAGATGAGCAGGCGTGCTCACCAGATCTCTCGCCTTGCACGCAGGCGCCAACCCTTGCAGTCGATTCAATTGGCATTCGCCTTGTGCCCTGGGGATCCGCGCATGCCGTGCAGTGCACTCACGGCAACTCAGTACAGACAGCTTGCGGCTTGCACCTCAAGCATTGCTCGTACCCTGTGCATCAGATTCATCCAGACATGCAGCTCTGCAAACGCAAGGCGTGCATGGCCGTGCTGTGCTAAAAAAAACGTTCATGCCCTGCCTTGACACACACAGCACCGCCGAATTCAACACGATTCGATAACTTAGGTATGCCTTTTGAGAGGTCGGCGACTCAGCAGTGCTCAAGCGCCGGTCCAGTGCCTGCCATCCGCACTGACTGTACACATTTCGCAGCTATCCCTTTCTCCTCTCAAACCGCCCTCGCAGCCGTCCGCGATCGGCTACAGGACGTCCTGACAGAAGCCCGGGTCCCTGAATGAAGGCCTGCAGGACCTCGTTTTGGCCAGAGGTTTTGACTGCCCTTCTGATTTCGCCTTCGCCTTCCCCATTGCAGACTTGCAGCCTTTCATAGTTTCTGCCAGGGGCTTCTGGACAGCCAACAACATAGAGGATCCAGAATCTAGTGTGGCTGCAGCGCGCCTTAGGAAAGCCCTAGCCGAGTGCCATCGGCTCAGCCTGCGCTCAGAGCCTCCCGAACCGGCCGCCAGCTCCGGATCGCCATGCACGCAGCCCAATCAAATCGCATCTTGGGCAGAGCACTTGCCACCCAAGCTCACATCCGAACGCGTGTCCAGCCTGATAGAAACCTTCAAATCCAATTACCCAGGTGAGCTGCTGGACGCGGACACCACGCCGTCCATCCGCCTTCTGAGCCTTGTGCACGAGGGCCTGAAGCCCGGGCAGTCCCTGAAGTGGGTGCCCTGGCAGTATCGCCTTTCATCACGGCAATACCAGGAACGCATGGAAGCAAAGTCGGCCCGAGCAGTTCGCTCGGAGCTACAGCTCCTGAGTCAGGCCTTCTTTGACGACACACCCGAGGTGTCCGTGGAGCACCACTCGCTGGCAGCGGGGTGGCTCACCCGCATCCAGACCGTGTTTCGCAATGCCCTGGCCCTGTGCCAAGCAGCGCACCTGTCGAACCTCAAGGCCTTCGACAAGAAAATAGCCGACCTGTGTCTCACACAGCCAGATCCCAACCTAGGCCTTCGCACTGTGAATACCCAAGAGCTTCTGTCAGCCGATCGCAAGCTCTGGGCAGCCATATCCGACCTTCTAGGGCAGCAATGGTCCCTGGATGATGCCTTGTACGAACTGACGCACATGAGAAACGATGCGCACAGCCTTCTACAATTGCGCCCAAAAATGTCCAAGCCATCCGTGCCAGCACCACCACGCCCCGCAACACCAAGGCAAAGGGGACCCAAGCGCGACCTTAAGCCAGCCCGCATGCCCTCACGCCCCACCAAGAAAGGCAAGGGGAAGTCCAAACAAGCCTCGCCGTCACCAAAGCCTAAGGCAGAGTGGTGCAGTACGTATAAAGGGAGAGAGGTCGCTACCAAACGGGCAGTTGCACTAATGACCAGTGCCCTTTCGCCCACGTGTGCGCCATAGTGGGCTGCCAGCAAAAGCATCCTGCCATGGATCACAATAAACACACGTGAAACAGCCCGGATCTTGGACCGGCACAGGATCGGGCAGCCATGCATCCGCCGGCCTTGCCCCACGACGGGCCTCATGAACCGTCTTCACCATCGCAGGGGCCAGGGCAAATTGCCCTGACTCCAGCCTTGCCTTCGGCACCGTAGCGTACCCAGCGCTTGGCCAAAGCCACACACGCCCGCCCGGGCAAGCTCATCAGACTCACAGCTGCATCCAGCCTCAAAGCGGCTCTTTTTGGACGTGTTTGCAGGTAGGCTGCACCCAGTGACGTCGGCCGCCATTAGCCTTGGCCTTGACTGCTTCGAGCCTTTTGACCTAGATGGTGACACTGCGCACGACATCCTGGATGACAGAGTCTTCGAGGCGCTCCTCAGACTCTGCTGGTCAGGAGTCGTGGCCCTGATCATGCTTGCCCCGCCTTGCTCAAACTACGCCCGGGCGGGCCCAAAGCCTTGAGAACGCCGCAGCACATGGACGGGGTCCCCGGCCTTTCGCCTGCGCAGCGTAAAAAATTGTTGGATAGCAAAACCATCCACGACCGTGGTAGAGCCCTGTTCAGAGCAGTGGTGCCACTCCCTGCGAAGAACTCCACCATATCTAGATATGAGTAACCTGCTTTCCGATGTTTCCACGCTCTCAAGCATAGGCCAAGCAACATGTCCTCCAGCCTCCATTCCTTCAGTTCAGGAAACGCTGCAGCCAAAATCGGATGCCATGCCCCCTTGTTGCACTCAGCATCCTGGTGCAGAAACCTCCCAATTTCTTGGGTCAGATTCCTCCTGCAGCCCGAACCGCCAAAAGACCAATGGCCCTCATCATCAATCGGGAAGTTTCCAATGGCAAAGTAGTCAGCCGTCACGCCGTGGCTCACTGCGTAGAACTCTTTCTGAATGTGCCAGGATTCAGCCTGCACTTTGGCAGCTACATTCTCCACAACATTGGGTGTGTTCTCCTTGTCCTTCAGCACACTGTTTGTCACTGCTCTTGCCCCTTTGCCCTTCTCTTTTTGCGCATCCAACTGATCCTTGGACAAGAGTACCATGGCCGCAGGAAGCTGAGAAAGCTGGCCAATGCCTAGCTTGAGCAAACCCGCACTCACACACACACACACATTGAAGGCGTTGCACTACATGAAGCAATGCAGCACGCACATGCACTGTCATGCATTGCCAGCCGCCTGGTCGCTGACCTTCATCATCTCATGCAATGCGCACACCTCGTTGGCACTGTTAACAACTCAGTGTCACAGCCCCGCGCAACACACATACACAGTCCCCAGCAGGATTGCGCTGCTGTAACTCTAGCATGTTAGCCCATTGTTTATGACATCAATGTCCCCATCATTGATATGTTCCCAGTTAAGCGCAATGTGTTGGGAAAGTTAGCCCAATATATGTCAGGTCAGTTCATGCTACATGCGCATTTGAGATGATTTGCTAACATTTTGAGCTGTCAAACGCCTTGTCCAATCACGCGGTTCAACTCGCAAACCGTCGCTGTACAACGGTAAACACATGCAACCCAGTTACAACGTGTAAACCTACTCACGGTACATGCAGGGTTTAGCACCCCGCCTTGAAATGCCTTGAAATCCACATGGAAAGGGATTTCATCCTTTTCTCCACGCATCAGCTGAGATTTCAACAGTCCTGATGCGACCGAGCGAATGAGATAGCCTGCCATTGGCATAAAAGCTTCTCAAACAAAAGCTCAAGTGAAACCTAGGCTCCAAGCCCTTTGCAGTAAACCGGGACTCCGTTATCGCACGCCTCCATCCTTTGTTTTCCGCTTTGCTGCAGTTGCACCCTGTCTTGTGCTGCTTTTGCCACCAAACTCAGCTCTATCCAAGTAATGGCAAGTGTGGCACTTCTTGTAGTGCCTTGCAACCGCAGTGTTCTCCTCAATCTCGATGAGAATGCTCTTCACGAGCCATTTGCAATTCCGTCTGTGATAATGCTTTCCAAACTCCGTGATGAACACAATGTTCTCTTCTTTGACTTTCGCAGTTCCAAACCACGCTGAAATCTTGCCGTAGCCACATTTCATCAAGTAAAAACATCCATAAGAAATGCAAACTGCCATCCATGCAATGCTGCAAAAGAAAATCGCATCCATGATCCAATCATGCTGATTGTTCAAACCATTGGGCTCATTATCACTGCTCAAGGCGTCGTGCTCGATCCTCTCGCTACCGCCAGGCTGCAGTAAAATACTGATCATCCCAGCTGCGAAAACTCTCTTTGCTGTCTGTGTGATCGACGTGCTGCTCGCGCCTTCAAACGCCTCATGGCCACTCAAGTCAGATCTAATCCTCCTGATGGCCAACCTCGTGTTCTCCTTCATCATGAGCGCCTCGTACTCACCAAAACCTACAGGCACCCATTCATCTGTCTCACCTTCAAACTCGCCCGACACAATGCCGACCAAGAAACTCAAGATTTTCACCCGATCTCGGCTCAAAGCCTTCGTGTTCAAGTCCGCCACATTCGTTGCCGTGGGAACTGTTCCGACCTGGAAAAAGCCCTGCGCCACTCGCTGCTGCATCCACAACACCTGGCCACTCAGATGGCGAATACGACCTGCACCAATCCTTCCAAGCACTCCCCTTGCTGCCGACGAATCAGTAAGCAAATAAACCCCAAGAGGTTTCTCATAGGTGCAAAACTTGATAATGTTCGAAAGGTAGATCGTATCACAACCAGCACTGACCGTGGAATAATATTCCGCCTCGCCACTGCTCAGCGATATTGTGCGTTGAGATCGCGAAGAACTGTACACACAATTCTTGTTGAGCAGAAACACAGCAGATGACGTCGACTTCCTGGTTTCTTTGTCTCCACTCCAGTCACTGTCCGTGCATGTCTCCAAGACCATCGCAGAAGGACAGCGCTTCATCACTAGCCCATCATACAAGATCGGCTGTTCAAAACACATTGCATTGTACCTCACACCAACCAAGTAGAAACAGAGATGTTTCAAAAGTTTCCACCCCTCAGCACCTGGATGAGCCATGCACTGTGCCAACGTCTTGATGCAATACTGGCAATCAACCAAGTCCGTGCTCGTGTAAAGCAACAGTCCAACCGCCGCCCTGTACTTGCTTGCCGCAGGTTCCTCCAAAGGATTGTCCGCCAGCTTGGCTTGAGCACCTCCACTAGGCATTGGTGCTGCCCTCGGGTTCACCCTGTCCGGATTGATATTCATCAGCTCGAACAGCTTTGTGAAATTCTTCTGGTGGGGCTGAATGATAAACCGCAGTGAGCGATGGTAAATCAGCTTCCTCTTCAAGAACCACAATTCCTGTCCGGGCTTGGTGATGAGCTCATACGTCACCTTGTATCTGCTTTCCACTGCGGGCACCAGTCTCTCCATGATAAATTCCTCAGTGCCAATTCCAAGCATATCATCCACATGCAAAAGACCATTGAATCCTTCAGCTGCTCGCAAAACTGAAGGGCAAACTGTGCATCCTTCCACTCCAACTTTCTCCTTCAAGAAACTTGTAAATGCTCCATGCCACTCACGCGCACCGTCACGCTGGCCTGGCAACAGCTTGTCCAGCTGAAATGTCCATTCCTCCCCATCAATCCATGCATTCACACAAGTGGGGATTTGCTGATCCACCGTCAAGTATGCATCGCTAATATCCAACGCAATCATTACCCAGTCCAAACCTTCTGCTTTCTTGTGCTGAAACAGGGCCGGCAACAATCGAATGACCAAACTTGACGTCGCCGGTGCAAATAGCTGCTGCCGATGCGGATCATCCCAGTGGAATTCTCGAGCAACGAACCTAGCCCGACGCATAAACTTCGGAACTTGGTCTCGCTGCTTCGGCCTCCAAGTTGTCACAAACTTCGTACTGAGTGTTCTCAATCCCAACTCCTGCGCCTCCTGTTTGCTTATGGGCTTCAAAACACCCATGGTCATGAGCCTGTCCACCTCCATGCGCTTAGCGAGATCATCGATCGCCTGCAAATCACTTTCCGCCAACTGTGGCTCCTCGCCCCCGGGACCAACCGGGTAATAAAGAAGCTCCGAATCTCCTTCCGAACTCTGGAATCCTTGCTCTGCCTCCACATCGCCAGTGAGCTGGTGGTCATGTTCTATCATTGTCTCAGCTTGCTGCTCATCATAGGGCAATTCCAGCACCTCGTCCTCATGATGCAGCTCTTCATCTCCCACAACACACAAAACTCCTGGCCTTGAAGCAGAAGAATCCCCGCCTTCTCCAGGCGTAGGCTCGCCCGCATACATCGGTGGGGCATTCAACCTCCTCTCCTTTCTTGGCGACACCTTCGCTGCCTTGGAGTCACGCTCTTCCTCCGCCGGGTCCCGCACACGAGCGCTCTCAGGTGGAACCACCCTGACCTTGGGCTCTATCTTAGCCGCTTTCACCTTTGGTTGCACCACATCTGTTGCTTTGAACGCACTCTTTCTCGGATTCGCTGCTTGCTCGGTCTGATCCTCGGACTCACCCTTTTTCGCATGCGTTGCAGTGTGCTCGTCCGGGACCACCGTTTCCGGGTCTGATGCAGCTTCATCTCCTTCTCCAGTTGCTCTGTCACCTGGAAAGCCGATGACCAACGCCTCCAAAGGGGCTTCATCCGGTAAAACCTCCATAAATTGCTCTTCTTCACCATCAACACCCTGTTCGGGTTCGGCAGCACGCCTTGGCCTTCCAAATCCCAGATGCCCTCCAAGGTAACCAGGGTAATCCCAGGGCATGCCTCTGAGTGTCGCTGCCAGCCCTGCATCCCACTTTTGCTCTGCTGTGAGACGCCTGATGGACCGCGTCAAAACCAGTCCTCCACCATGGAATCCTGCTCCGGCCGTTGACACCAGATGCATGTCGCTTGTGGCGACCTTGCCCAGCCATATGCTCTTTACCCAGGAAGGGTTTCCTTTGTTCTGCACTTTCATGTAAGCCAAAACGCACTCACCGAACACTGCAACTTTGCCTCGGTAAATCGAGCCTGATGACACTCGCTCCAATGGCGTCATACCTTGAACCACATGAAAACGATTGTGGGTCCATGCGCTGTGCAACCATGCCCATGCATGAAGCGGGTCAAAAGTGCCAACTTTGCATTTGCAACCTTCCTCCATCTGTGCAAGAAAAATGTTGCACTGGTACCTCAACGCTTGCACTGACCGCTCCACTGCACCGTTCGCCTGATGGTCGCCTCGAGGGCTGTTCCGCAAAACAGTCTTTGTGCCATATTTCAGCCTGTGCTGTTGCACTCGCTCCTGCAAATTGACACAAGAAGGCTCTCCATCTGTCATGAAAATGAGCTCTGGATATCCGAGATAAGCCATAAATCGGCACACCTCCACAACCAACTGTGTCATCCACTTTCCGCCTTTCTGGGCCGTTGGGATTGCATGCACACATTTGCTGTCGCGGTCGTGCAAAACCAAACAACAAAGTTTGGACGCTTTGTCGTCCCGAGACCCCGCCTTCTCTGGATCCCGTGACGTGTAACAAAAATCTGCACTGACCAAAGGCAACGCTCTGCTTGAATCGTCAACCTTCTCATGTCTGTCCTGCCTAGACTTGAATGCAGCACAATGATGGCACCACGCCTGAAAAGGGTAATGCGTGAGTTCATGCTCAGCCACCTGCTCCGGTGTAGGGGAAGCCACACCTGGTGGAGAGCTCGCCTTTCGCTTCTCTCCCTGCAAGATCTCATTGTGCACCTTCTGTTCTGCTCTCATGTCTTGCGCCTTCAAGTGCTGACCCAGACGCTTCAAAATAATTGCTTTGCCTCCAGACTTTCCAATACCACATTTCGTGCATGCTTCCCTCAAGACCGACAAAGTGTCCTTCATTGTCAACATCTTGCCTTCAAACTCCACTTCATGCTCATCAACTGGAACCAACGCTTCCGCTGGCACATCTCTCCGAGCCTCGTCCACTGCAGATTCCTCAGCCGGATTGACCTGTTCCGCAGGCCTGTCACTAGGTGCAGCTTCTGCCTGAACATTCACCGCACTGCTTTCTGATGCAGATCCACCCGGAAATGATGCCAACGACTCAACATCGAAACCCAGCTTCGCAGTGTCCTGATATCCTCGATGAGCAAGAGTGATCATCTCGGTGGGTTCCTGCAGCTCTTCGATCTTACCTGAAACATTTCTCAAGCTCACTCAAACGATCTGCAAACTCGATCACCCACCATCTCCCATTCTGCTTGATGAGAGTAGACCTTCTGTCCACTTCAGCTCGCGGCAAGCTCGCTGCCACGTCTGTGAAGTTCATGCCGAACAATTTCACTGCCCAGCATGTCTCGCTAATCTGCTTCCAACCTGTTCCAATCTCTGCAAGCTCAGGCCTCAACGTGGCCGCCACCTGATCGCTCTCGTTTGTGCTCTGACTAACGGCACAAATGGATCCTGAGATGCACAAGGAGTTTCGCTTGTAGAATGCGGGCAATTCCACCTCCTGGTTCCACAGCTTAAGCTCTCCCTCCTTAGTGCCGACCTGCCAGCCAGCTCGCAAAAGCTTGCACACAGAAACCAAGGGATGAGATACCTTCGCAACTATGAACTCCTCCCGCAGAACAAACGTTCCCTTGTTCGACTGCACATGAATGTCTGCAATCCGTCTCTGGCTGATTCTGAGGTCATTTCCCTGTGCGTCCTTGAACTTCCCAGGCCTTGCAGGTGCTCGCGAACCTACACAACTCATTTCTTCAGGAAGCACACTCACGTCTGCACCACTGTCCAGAATCACGTCTATTGGGTCTGCAGTTGAATCACCATGCACTGCACGAACAATTCCATTCTCATCTGAAAACCCATGAAAACCGCACATAGATGTACCACACATTTCTGTACCATTTGACATGTATGCAGCACACTCTGAGACCGACACATCTGCAAATCCTGATTGGATACCTTCTGCACATTCCCACTGCGAATCTCCATCCGAATAAGTCATATCGAAACATTGCACTGCAGAATCCGGAATACCTGCAAATGAAATCATGCGCACATCATAAAATGCAGCGTCTTCCTGCTCGTCGTCCATCTCATAAATTGTCAAATCAAAAACATCTGTACCATCATCCATAGAGTACACCCTTCTCACCGACTGCTGAGCTGTTTTGTACGTGCCTGAGGTCGACCCGCTTCCCGCACTGACAGTAGAAGCAGCCGATGAAGTGCCATGGTCCATGTTGGCCTGATGCAACTCCTCAGCACGTTTCACGCTCGCCTGCTCCTGATCTTTCTTGTAGCGAAAACAATCCCGCTTCCAGTGTCCGGTTTTGCCGCAGTACAAGCAAGCATCGCCAGCAACCATGTCATAGGAACCTTTTCCGGTCTTGCCTTTCGAGTCCTTGCCTTTGCTGTTGTTGTACTTGCCTTTGCCCTTGGATTTTCCACCTTTCTCAAACTTTCCTTTCGAGAACTTGCCTTTCTGGTCACCTTTGTGCTTGCCTTTTCCCTGCTTGCTCCAGTCACCTTTGATTCTGTCAACTTCCATGTTGCTACTGGTGTCCTCGCTGTGTGGTTGGTCCTTGATGTGGAACATGCTATTGATGGGATTTGTCCATTTCGTTTGCGAAGTCTCCCAACGTTGTACCAAACTGCAAAGCTGTGCGTAGCTTGAGCCCTCGGTGACCACAATGTTTGTGTAGGCTTTCAAAGGGCCACTCAAGCATCTAAGCAAAACTGCCATGCGATGGTTATCACTCAACTTGCTCGCCGTGACACGCTCGTACTCCTGTTCAGCCTCCTGCAACCTCGCCAACTGATTGCTAAGTCCTTGTTTCATGGAAAAAGCAGGCCAATTGTTGATTGCTTGCAACAAAGCCAATGCACGTGTGCGGGCCAGGGGCTGCAAGTCTTCGCTTATCAGTCTGTAAGCCTCAAAGCCGTTCAAATCTTGAACAGTCTTCAGTATCTGAATGCCTCGTTCATGTAGAATGCCAGCAAGCAATGAGTAAAGCAAATTGCTTCTAGAGGCCGTTTCTTCGTTCATATCAGCCATCAAAACTGGTCCTTCTTGCCGACGCAGCGATTCCAAATCTGCATGAAAACCAGGGTCAAGGGCACTCAACCAACGCTCAAATGTCCAACTCCAGTTCTTCCACTTCGCTAATTCTTCCTCTCTCGAGGCTGCAACAAACGGTTCCGGATTTCTCAAAATGCGTACTAGATCTTTTCCCGAGATGTTCTGACCGCTCACATTCCGTGCTGCCTGCGCCGTCAAATTGTCTGCCTGCAACTGCACCAAACTCTGAATTGCCGCCTGATTTGCCCGCGCTGTCTCTATAGCAAGCTCGGCCATTGCACGAATCTGTGCCATAGGATCTCCAACAGTCGGGCTTGATGACGTTCCTCCGCCATCCGCCATGTCGTAAGCCTTCCGAAGACTCACTCGCCAAATCGCCCGTCTAACGAGCAATCACTCTCACCAGCACAGTTGTAAAAGCAAACAATCAAATGGCGCCGCTACACGGACGCTCAGTGTCTTACCGAGCTCCGCTACCATGCTAACATTTTGAGCTGTCAAACGCCTTGTCCAATCACGCGGTTCAACTCGCAAACCGTCGCTGTACAACGGTAAACACATGCAACCCAGTTACAACGTGTAAACCTACTCACGGTACATGCAGGGTTTAGCATGATTTGAGATGATTTGAGATGATTTGAGATGATTTGAGATGATTTGAGATGATTTGAGATGATTTGAGATGATTTGAGATTTGAGATTTGAGATAATTTGAGATAATTTGAGATAATTTGAGATAATTTGAGATAATTTGAGATAATTTGAGATAATTTGAGATAATTTGAGATAATTTGAGATAGGGTTTGGGGTGAGAGTTTGAGATAATTTGAGATAATTTGAGATAATTTGAGATAATTTGAGATAATTTGAGAAATAATTTGAGATAGGGTCTGGGGTGAGAGTTTGAGATAATTTGAGATAATTTGAGATAATTTGAGATAATTTGAGATAATTTGAGATAGGGTTTGGGGTGAGAGTTCGAGATTTTGGACATAATTTGAGAGCTTTGAAGCACATGATAACTAAACAAATTCAATAAGGTGGACAACTGTGTCAAAGAGCATTTGTGGCTTACTCATTAACAAACAATCGATATATCAAAATGAAAAGCTACTTCATTGCCATGGCAGAACCAAACAGATGTGTTGAAGGCCCCGTCACCTCCTGCCTAAGGTGCACTGCATGCAGGCCAGCCCATAATAATGTTACAGCTTAGCTTTGGCACTCCACCATTTTTGACATCCCGCACATGTCAGCACTCATCACAAAAATAGTGACAGTGATCTGGCACTGCAGACCACTATGCCACACTGGCTGACTCACAATACCTGCCACGAATCATCAATCACATCGCCTTCTGCCAGTGCTCCATGGCTTAAAGGACAGGCTTGACTCTTTGGAATTCCCGCATGAGCCATGTATCGGTGAATGCACTCCGTGTGGAAGGTGTGTGAGCAAGCGAGTGCTTCTGCCTCCTGCCGCGGCAACTGATTCCAAAGCAACACAGTGTGTGCAAACCTCACTGACCTTTAAATACAACACACAAAACTGCCCACACACAACTTGACCCAAATTAGCCAAGGCTCAGCTGCATCTAGGCGCTCAAAACAAAACTGGCACTTGGCAGCTGCTTCATCGTCTTGCGACTGTGGCACCTCGGCCTCGCCGGAACAGGGAACTCCTGCTCGCTTTCTGCTTCGCCAGGCACATCAGGTAGCTCAGCAGCTGCATCTGGGGGAACTGCCACAGGCCCTGCAGCCGCATGTGCAGCATCTGCTGCATCTGTAGCTGCCGGTGGCGCTGCCTTCGGCACTTGTCCAGTTCCTGGGGCTGCACTGTCAGCAAGCAATGTGTTGGCAGTGGCCTTGGGCGTTGGGAAATTGAAGATAGGAGGCCCTGCTCTCCTTGCCTTGGCTGGGGGCGGCAGGCTCGGCACCTGTGGCGCGGCGCTCGTTGCCACACTGGCTGCCTTTGGCACTACATAGGCTCTCTCTTTAGAGGGGGTTTCCCAAATGGCTTATATTCTACCTGAGAGGCTCCTAGCACTCGTCCGTCCAGCATTTGACCTTGTCCTGCGAAGGATTCGAAGTCTAAAACGCTGCGTGGAGGCGTATGGCTGCAAAATAGTGACCCCTAGATATGCTTGCAATTTGGCTCCAGGTTGCATTTCAAGCGAGCCAACCTTTGCAGGGCTAAGAAAAAAAACAAAAAAAGAAAACAAGGGGTCCCAAAAAAAGGGTCCCCGAAAAAAAGGGAAAAGGGGTTTCCTTTGGCAAAGCTTGACATCGCTTGAAATGCAACCTGAGCCAAATTGCAGCGCATATCTAGGGGTCACTATTTTGCAGCCATACGCCTCCACGCAGCGTTTTAGACTTCGAATCCTTCGCAGGACGAGGTCAAATGCTGGACGGACGAGTGCCAGGAGCCTCTCAGGTAGAATAGAATCCATTTGGGAAACGCCCTCTAAAGAGAGAGATACCGGGAATGCAGGGATTCCCTGCAGAATCCCTGCATTGAACTCCCCCCCAGGTAGAATAGAATCCATTTGGGAAACGCCCTCTAAAGAGCGAGCTTCAACACAAGTGCCACTTGTGTTCACATTCCGGCCGCGCCAAGCCGCTGAACCCCCACAGTCTCCCCCGGGCTCCTTGCTATATTGTACTTGCAGTAAGTTCTTACACGCCAAGCCGCTGAACCCCCACATCCCCGCGCCCTTGCTATATGTGCTATATGTGCTATATCTTACACGCCAAGCCGCTGAACCCCCACTCTCCCCCGGGTCCTTGCTATATGTACTATATGTGCTATATATTCTGTACGCGCGAAATCTGTACTATATGTGCTATATAGGGCCATATAGCACATATAGCACATATAGCAAGGAACCCGGGGAGAGTGGATGTTCAGTGGCTTGCCTTGTGAGATATAGCACATATAGCACATATAGCAAGGAACCCGGGGAGAGTGGATGTTCAGTGGTTGCCTTGTGAGATATAGCACATATAGCACATATAGCAAGGACGCGGGGGACTGTGAGGGTTCGGCGGGTTGGCGCTCCGTACGCGCCGCATTTTGCATGGTTTTTGCATGGTTTTTGCATGGTTTTTGCATGACATGTGGAACAGCTTGCTTTTTTGCATGACATGTGGAACAGCTTGTTTTTTGCATGGCATGACATGTGGAACAGCTTGTTTTTTTGCATGACACGTGGAACAGCTTGTTTTTTGCATGATTTTGAACCTGTCATTTTGTTGGTTTTTCGCACGGTTTTGCATGTCATGTGCATGTGGTTCAACCCCAAAGTGCCCCCCAAAAAATGGTAAAAACAGGGGGCCTGGGGGGAAGAGGGAGGAGTGTTGGGGTTATTGGGTCAAATGTTGTTATCCAACGTTTTAACACCCTTGTTTGATTTCTTCCTATATTTTGTTGTAGGGTGTTAGGGGTGGATTTTCTGGGGGCCGACATTTTTTTCATTTGAAAGAGTTAACCCTTTTAGTAGTTATCAAGTTCTGGGGAGTTGGTGGTGTATTTGTTTTGTTAGTGTTTTTCTCACTAATTTTCATTTATAGGTTAAAAGTTCAGTATAATTATAACATATAAGATTTTACATGTTATTATTATATTATGATTATAATTTCAGTTCAGGATAATAATCTAATTGGTTTGTCTTACTTCTTTCATACATCATTTTAAAAATAATATTAATATCTCTCAATGTATTCTGAACATTAAACTTTTTACTTTCAATAAATAATTTGATATTTTCTTTAACATCTTCTCCTTTCTCTTGACTATAACCCAACATCCATAATATATCATAAATCATGTCATATTTTTTCTTACTGATTTTAAGAAACTGTTTAATATAATCGTAAGGTGGTATTTTATTTACAGTTAGAAATATTAAAATCTCATCTTCTACATTTCTATTATTTATTCTTTTTATTTCCAACAGACATTTGATTAAAAATTGATTATCTCTCCAAGTTTTACAATTTTTACATATGTCTTCTTCACCATCCATTGAATAATTAATAATATTATTCACAATTTCA